GGGGCGTAATGTGGATTTGTTTTTCTTTATCTGTAGGCCGACAGATAGGAAACAATTGACGGTGGGCCGCGTGAATCGGAGAGCTTCGTCAAACGTTGAGGCTTTGAGGAGGCAATCGTCGAGGTAAGGAAAAATTATGACCCCTTGTTTCCTGAGGTAGGCAGTGACTACGGCTAGGAGCTTGGAAAAAACACGGAGGGCCGTGGACAGTCTGAAGGGTAGAACCCTGTATTGAAAATGTGTTGAGCTGAGGGAAGGAAGCGTCTGTGGGCCGGATGTATAGTCACATGAAAATAGGCGTCCTGTAGGTCGAGGGCTGAAAACCAATCGCCCTGCTCCAGCGCTGGGATTATGGTGGTGAGAGTAACCATCTTGAACTTTTGCTTTTTGATAAATTTGTTGAGCCGCCTGAGGTCGCCATCCCCCAGTTTTCTTTTCTGTTAAGAAATAATGGGAATAAAAGCCCTTCCCTCTGTGTCGTTCGGGCACAATTTCTATTGCTCCCAACTGAAGGAGATGTTGTACTTCTTGGAGGAGCAGTTGGTTGTGAGAGGGGTCCCTGAAGGAGGACGGGGAAGGTGGGTGGGTGGGAGACAAGGAGAGGAAGGGGATAGAGTAGCCAATTGTAATGAACTCTATAACCCACTTGTCGGTGGTAATGCTCTGCCATTGATGGGAAAATGGTCGTAGGCGGTGTCCAAAAATCTTGGTCCTACTACTGAAGGCAGGGGACTGGACTCGATGACCTTTCAAGGTCCCTTCCAGTTCTAGGAGACAGGATATCTCCATTTATTATTATTATTATTATTATTATAAAATAGGTGTATGCGGTGTATGCGCTGAAGTGGGAACGCTGTTTTCTAGTCCCTCGACCAGAAGTTCAAATCTGCTTATTAGTTGGAGGGGGTTGAGGCGTCATCGAAGAATTGGGACGACGACGCTGGTATCTCGGTCTCTGGCGTTGCTGTTGTTTTTCCTGTGATCTATGGAAATGCTGTGTATATGCGGGGTAGCGTGGACGGTGGTAAGGTTGATATCTATATCGTCGCCTTCTGGTCGTAGGGGTTTGGATTCCTAAGGACCGGAGGGTTGCCCTCGAGTCCTTCATTGAATGAAGTACGTCGTTCGTGGTGGAAGCAAAGAGTTTGTCACCGTCAAAGGGAAGATCTTCAATGGTACTCTGGACCTCTCGAGGAAAGGAAGAGGAGGAGAGCCATGAACCTCAGTGCATGACCACTGCTGTGGCGGTGGATCTTGCTGCAGTATTGGCTGCATCAAGGGCCGCTTGAAGAGTGGTACATGATATGATTTGTCCCTCGGAAACTAGATCTGTGAATTGTTGTTTCTTTTGTTCTGGAATGTCATCAATAAAGTCCATGAATTTGTTAGAGTTTCTGTGGTCATATTTTGCAAGAACTGCAGTATAATTAGCAATACGAAATTGTAGCGTTGAAGATGCATATACTTTACGACCAGAGAGGTCCAAGCATTTACTTTCCTTGTTGGACGGGGTGCAGCAGGAATACTGCTGTTTGGTCCTTTGGTTGGCTGCATCTACTACCAACGAGTTTGGCGCTGTCCTTAGAAGGGATGAAGTACTTGCAATCAGCTTGTTTATAGGTAGGTAGGCTTGTAGCTGGAGTCTGCCAGATGGACTTAGCAGGTTCTAAAAGGGCTGCGTTGATTGGTAATGCAACCCTAGAGGAAGAAGAGGGCTGTAGGATGTCTGTTAACTCATGCTGTTGTTCGGGGACCTCCTCCAAGTTAATTCTCAATTCACTGGCAACTCTTAAAAAGGTCTTGACATTTTGAGAGGTCATCCGAAGATGTTGGGGGAGGGGGGAGTAAGGCTTCTTCAGGCGTTACCTCCGGCTCTACTGGAATAGGAACAGGACGTGATTGATCTTGCAAGTGTGACAGTGCTGCCTGGTGTCTTGTGTCAGTGTCAGGTTCGTCAGGTGGTGGTGCTAGGCAGGTGTTGCGCCTGGTTGAGGTGGAGTGGCGCATGTGTTCTCGAGGATACGATGCCCATGGGGCCTAATATTGCCATGGTGGTGGGAAGGGCATTGGTGGTACCATCCAGGGGTTCACACACCAGGGGGCAGGATCGTGAGAATAGGATGAGGTAATTTTTCTATGACCTCTGTTGACTGGGATCTGAGGATGGGAGTCTTGATACAGTGAAAAATCCCCCTGCGGTCCGGCTTCCTCCTTACTGGAGGAAGGCTGTTCAGACCCTGATTCAGCCATTGGAGAGAAGCAGGCATTCAGTAGGGGTGACTGCAGGACAGGTGACACGAGCAGATCTCTTTACTGAGTAAATTGCCGTGCTGAGGCTCCTGTGTGAGGTGAAGGCTGTGCAGGAGGAAGCTGCTGTGAAGAGAAATTCCTCTGCACTGGTGTTTTGAGCCTGGGCTCATTGCCAGTCAGCTCAGCGGGTGTCGATGCCAGAGCCGGTGCCGGGAGATCAATATCAGCCTGCAGGGGGTCAAGCAGGTCGTGATATGTCGGCACCGCGTCCGTCACGGTGCCGAACGGTGCCAGAAGAGAGGCAGGCAACTGGAAGCCTGAAGCCTCGGCACCGGATTTTTGCGCTGCTGCCGCAGCCGGGTTTTGCGCAGTGCTGGAGGAGCCCGGCGCGTCAAACATGCTCAAGCGAGGAAGCACAGGGAGGGAAGCAGTAGATCTGCCCGGAGAAATCTTGTCTCGCAGGGTTTCCTTTGTGGATGACAAAAGGTGCCCTCTTTTTGAAGATTTCTTGTGCTTCTTTGAGGCGGGGGGGCTGTGGCGGTCAGCGGAGCCGGAATCAGCGCCTGGGTCTGAAGCTGACCCTAGAGATTTCTGAAGGAGGAGCAGTTTCAATCTAAGCTCCCTGTCCTTCCGTGCCCTGGAGCTAAGTTTACTGCAGTGGGCACATCTTTTGAGAATGTGGGTCTCCCCCAAACATTTTATACATTGTGAGTGGCCATCTGACAGGGGGATAGGCTCCTTGCAGGTAGAGCAGCGCTTAAAGCCTGTGGAACCAGGCATGTCAGAAGCAGCTGCAGTTGATAGGAAAGAAGAAAATTTTCTTAAAAAAAAAAAAAAAAAAAAGGTAACTAACTATGACTAACAACGAACTAAAAACAAACTAACTAGAAGGGTAATTGTAACAAGAGGAAAGAAGTTCTTAACGAGTCTGCTTAGCTCCGTCTCAGGCCGGGGACAGTAGAGAAGGAACTGAGGAGACCGGCCATGCATGCATACTATTAAGGTAGACTCAGAGCGGGGGGCAGGCTCTGCGCATGCGTGGCCGATACGAGTACTGCTACAAAAATCTCCGAGCGAAGGCGCAGGGACGCACCAACACCTGGAGTGGAGCACCCACAGGGATATCTCTCGAAGAAGAACCAGTACTTCCTTTTTCCCACCCTTCACCTCTTACCTATTAGACTGTAAGCTTTTCAAGGCATGGACTCTCCCTAACTATGCACCTGTATAACATCCAGTACAACAGTTTTCCAATTTCAACTAGGGCTTAAACTACCATAATTCAAACAAAACAATAAACCAGAGGGATTTGCCACAGAACGTAGGTCCAGCTTGCTACGGAATACACTGGGCTTTAACAAGTAGCATAGAGGATATGGCTTTAGTTAAAACTGAACTGGCGACCACAGGTGCTTTAGGCTACGATTCTTGAAAGCAATCCTACTCACAAAGGCACTTAAGCATGTGCTTAAGTATTTTCCTGAATAGGAATGCTCTAACACTGAGGTGGGCAAACTACGGCCCGCGGGACCCTCCTGCCCGGCCGGGGAGGCTAGCCAGGCTCAGAGACTGAGTAAAAGTCATTGACACTTGTATTTCACTATGTCCTCCAGGCAGCCTGCTCAGCATTTGCAATATTGTCCAAGAACCCCAGCTCAGAACCTTCTCTCCACTGAGGGAGTTCTGAGTTAGGCTCAGCAGCTCATACTTTTGGCTCTCCAAGCCTTAGTTTCTATGTTGTTCTCTAGGCAGCACGGCCTACTCTTCTAATTCTCGCCCTGCTATAAAGCTACAGCGGGATTCTTACTTTGACTCCCTTATCCAAATTTGCTTGGCTCTATGAAACAGTGCAGAAAGAATGCACTGTAATCCATTTAGCTCGTTCTTGTGTGGAAACATGGAGAGTCGAAGAGGGCCCCCACCCTAGTTTAGGCATTAGTGCAATATAAAGGTTAAATAATAAAGGTACAGGCAGGTCCTGGCAGGGCTGAGACACAAAATGTCCAACACCCAAAACAGCAAAATTGCAACTTCCACAGCATCTTAGAAAGATGCCAGTTTATCCAGACAATGAACCACAGAATCCACAGGGTCCTGACTGAGAAGAGTGAGGCAGGTCAGACTTCTAAAAGGTACTGGATCCAAGCTATCTACAAACTCAGGAAGAAAACATCATCAGTTTACACTTGGTTCACATTTTCACTGTTCTCTTTGCAACCGTAAGGACCAGATTTTTTTTTAGTTAAAACATTCTGTAGCATAATTCTGTAGCAAGAAATGAATACCACAGCATTGGAATCATGGAACACACAGGGTCCTGGCTGTAACCAAAAAGCTGTCACGATACACTGCATACATTTGTGAAGATTCAAATCACCTTAATGAAAAACAAACGTTCCCAGTCAGAATTAATACACCACATACCAACCAACAAATAAAATTAGGCTCCCACCACCTATTTGTCTGCCATCATAGACACAAACTACAGCTCTCTCTCGTGTGCATGCATGCGTGCGCACACACCTGAGTCCGCAGATGACAAAGAGTTGTCTTTGTTCTAATCATATGCATCTACAACTCATTCAGACAAAATGGCTCATGTTAACATTGCAAGATGTTGGAGTCACAGCACTCTGCAACTCAAAATGTGTAATGCCAACAAGGGTGACATTAGCCTTGTTTTTCTGTCTCAATGTTAAGACAACATATATGTGGGTATTAATTATTACTGTACCATACTATGTGCTTACCTTTAAGACCTCCATCTTAAATCCACTGTCAGATGTAGGGCCATCAGGCATCTGTAGGGCCTGAACAAAGGCCTCTGTGAACTGCTGCACTACAGGAAAGATCAGGACTTTGGCTGCACCCTAGTCACAACAAATACAAGTAGTACTGAATTCTATATATTAGTATTATCATAGCACTTGGGCGTCTCAGTCATGGACTAGGACACCATTGTGCTAGGCGCTGTACAAACAGAACAAATGGACAATCCGCAATAATTAATAAATTTACATACACTCTATTAAAAGCTGAAGCTCACAGACAGCAATGGAAATCGTACCGTTATGTTGCCCCAAAACAAAACAGAGGCTGATGACAACTGCTGTGCATTTAGGAATCACATGCAGCTTCCGGGGGTGTCTCTTCACAATGACTGTCAAACTGACTGGCTTCTCAGTCTGGAAGCCAGCAACAATTACAAAGCAGAACAAGCTTTTCAAAAACTGTCTTAGTAATAATAGCTGGCATGAGAATTGCTGTGTTAATTTCTCTGGATAATATATAAAAAGCATTTTGGCTGCACTGTAAATGGTGCTAGGTGGAGCAAGATTGAAGTCTCCATGTTGGACAGAGTAAGAAAAATCAGAGACATCAAAACTTATGCAATAATATAAAGGCACTGGTCATGATTCCGTAAGTAAGACAGTTAAGTTCCACACTTAAAGCAGTCATCAACATCCTTGTTATTAGTTCCATACTCAGAGTAAGTGCTGAAATTTTGGGTGTGATATGCTATACTCTTTTCTTCATATATAGAGAGTGAACCCTACCCTACTTTAGGGACAAAACTAAAGTCAACCTTAATTATGGAGCCAATGTGACAGTCATGGAGTGGTTATGTATTAATCTAACAACTATATGTAATAACCATAGGACTATTTTAAGTGACCTGGTCAGTGAGGTAAAGTTTCTGTATAACTATGGTGGATTGCTGGAATTTCTTGTATGACTGTTTTCAGAGTGGTAGCCGTGTTAGACTGTATCAGCAAAAAGAATGAGGAGTACTTGTGGCACTTTAGAGACTAACAAATTTATCTGAACATAAGCTTTCGTGGGCTAAAACCCATTTCATCGGATGCATGCAGTGGAAAATACAGTAGGAAGAGATATATATACACAGAGAACATGAAAAAATAGGTGTTGCCATACCAACTATAACTAGACTAATCAATTAAGGTGGGCTATTATCAGCAGGAGGGAAAAAAAAACGTTTGTAGTGATAATCAGGATGGCCCATTTCCAACAGTTGACAAGAAGGTGTGAGTAACAGTAGGGGAAAAATTAGCATGGGGAAATAGTTTTTACTTTGTGTAATGACCCATGTAAAAACTATGGGAGAACAGAGTGATTCCACCTGGACCCAGGTGACCGCCCAAGGCCCAAAACCTAAAGAGGAGGTGCACTGGAAGAAATCAAGAGTCAGAGGTGCAATTCGCTCAGTAACTGTGACAGCCATGATGAGGACCTCCAGAATGGACCATAGAGTGCCTTCTTCCCCAAACTACAGCACTTAATCTGTGTCCCAAGTTCCAAGTAAATCTATTGATCAGTTTAGGAATTAAAATTAAGTGTGAAGAAGCCAGTTGCATTGAGTTTTGCACCTGAAGTAGAGATTCGGCCACTTTGCTTATAAGAGAAATATAACATTCTCCCCAAAATTACAGTACTATAGAATAAATATTCTAAGTTTCCAAACAGATGTTAATTTTACACCTGCTCAGAATCATTTCCTGCAATATACAATGAACTCATGAACTGAAAAATCAAACTTACCTTCTCCAACTCCTCCATGTTACAGATCATATGGGCACATGTGGTGAAGATCTCTACTGCACGTGACCTGGTGCGAATACCATACACCTTGTAGAAAACATATAATATGTCTCAAGTGTGACAAGAAGAGAAATGCTGGTGATATCAGGGAAGTGAAAGTGTGTTTAATCACTAGCTACCATTAACCATGCTCATATGTTATCCTTAACACACACATTTCAGAGATTTCTCTTTCTTCAGCACAGTCTAAATTTGAACAAGTCATCAGCTAATTTCCTAACACTGAACAGTGAACCTGAAAACTCCTAAGAGACACTGTAGTAACCAAAACTGCAGGAAAAGGAGAGAGAGATATCAGAATCCAACACAATCTCATTCTCACTTACCTGAAATACCCTCTTAATGCATTCAGTAGATCATCACAATATTTAATTACTTTCAAACACATGCCATCTAGCTACATCTACATTTCTTTATTCCTTCAGAACAGGCACCTCCCTCCCTAACCTCACAATATGAGTCATTTACTTAGTACCACTAACAGTGAAGACAAATAGTTCTTTTCCATACCTCCGCCATCGTGAAAATTTTGTACATCTCAGGAAGAATAACAGGAGCGACAAGTGGCATCTGTGTGTCTGTCACTTCGCGGGTAAACTCTAGGAAGAGAAACAAGTAAAGAGACGGGTCCACATACATTTGAGCATTATCTCCCAGGTTCACACTCCTATTCAGTTCAGCCTCAACAATAGAAGTGATTTTATTCTTCGTTAAACTTTAATTTACACCAATGTGTAGGGCCCTACCAAATTCACAGCCATGAAAAACATGTCACGGATCATGAAATCTGGTCTGCCCCTGTGAAATCTGGTCTTGTGTACTTTTACCCTATACTATACAGATTTCAGGAGGGGAGACCAGCGTTTCTCAAATTGAGGGGTCCTGACCCAAAATGGAGTTGCAGGGGGGTGACAAGGTTATTTAGGGGGGGGTTGCGGTATAGCCACCCTTACTTCTGGGCTGCCTTCAGAACTGGGCAGCCATAGAGCAGCAGCTGTTGGTTGGGCGCCCAGCTCTGAAGGCAGTGCCCCGCCAGCAGCAGTGCAGAAGTAAGGATGGCAATATCATACCATGCCACCCTTGCGTCTGTGCTGCTGCCTTCAGAGCTCGGTGGCTGGAGAGTGGCGGCTGCTGATCAAGGGCCCAGCTCTGCAGGCAGCAATGCAGAAGTAAGGGTGGTAATACCATGCCATGCCATCTTTACTTCTGCACTGCTGCTGGCAGCAGCTCTGCCTTCAGAGCTGGGCCCTCAGTCAGCAGCCGCCGCTCTCCAGCTGCCCAGCTCTGAAGGCAGCACTTCCGCCAGCAGCAGCGTAGAAGTAAGGGTAGCAGTACCACAACCTCCCCCCCCCACACACACACACAAACTAGGTCTGCAACTAGGCTCATTGATTTCAAGAATGTGGAGAAGGCTTGGAAATACTTTAAATCAAAGTTGCAGTTGGAGCCTGCATTCCAAGCAGGGGGGAGAAATTTGTAGGGACAAGTTGCAGACTAACCTGGATGAACAAGCATTTCAGGCAGGTTATTAAGGGCAAGAAGAAAGTCCACAAGGAATGGAAGAAGGGATGGATCAACAAGGAAAGCTATCTCTTGGGGGTGTTTCTACACTGAAATTAAAAACCCACGCCTCACCCGTGCCAGCTGACTCAGGCTCACAGGGCTCAGACTAAAGGGGCTGTTTAATTACGGTGTAGATGTTTGGGTTCAGATGGGAGCCTGGGCTCTAGAACCCTGTGAGGTTGGAGGGTCCCAGAGCTTAGGCTGCAGCCCTGCAAGTCTGAGTGAGCTGGCACGAGCCAGCTGTAGGTTTTTTTTACGGAAGTGTCGACATACCCTTGAGATCAGAAAGCATAAGGAAAAGGTGAGAACTTCAAGCAGACTTACATAGGAAATTTAAAACAGTAAAAGTAAACAGTAAATTTCTGCCAAGGATCAGTCTTGGGACCAATCTTATTTAACATTTTCATTAATGACCTTGGCAGAAATTTAGACATGAAATTAGGCAGCAGTTTCTAACCACCAGAGGAGTGACGTTCTGGAATAGCCTTCCAATGGAAGGGGGGGGGGGGAACCAAACCTGTTTCAAGACTGAGCTTGATAAGTTTATGGAGGAAATTGTATGGTGAGGTTGCCTACAATGGCATATGGCGACTGCCATTAGGCAATGTCTCCAATGGCCAGAGATGGGATACTAGATGGGGAGGGCTCTGACTTAGGGTACGTCTACACTACCCAGCGGATCAGCAGGTAGTGATCGATCTATCGGGGATCAATTTATCGCGTCTAGTGTAGACGCAATAAATCAATCCCCGATCGCTCTGCCGTCGACTCCTGTACTCCACCGCAGCGAGAGGTGTAAGCGGAGTTGACTGGGGAGCGGTGGCAGTTGACCCCGCGCCGTGAGGACGTGAGGTAAGTCGACCTAAGATACGTCGACTTCAGCTACGCTAGTCTCGTAGCTAAAGTTGCGTATCTTAGGTCGATTTCCCCCCCCACCAGTGTAGACCAGGCCTTACTACATAGAATTCTCTCTCAGGTATCTAATTGGTGGGTCTCGCCCACATGTTCAGGGTCTAACTAATCGCCATATTTGGGGTTGAAAAGTAATTTCCCCCCAAGTCAGATTGGCAGTAACCCTAGGGGTTTTTCACTTTCCTCTGCAGCGTGGGGCACGAGTCACTTGCTGGTTTGAACTGGAATAAATGAGGTCTTTAAATCAAGATTTGAGGACTTCAGTAACTAAGCCAGAAGTTATGGGCCTATTATAGGAGTGAGGTGAGGTTCTATGGCCTGTGATGTGCAGGTGGTCAGACTAGATGATCATGATGGCCCCTTCTGGCCTTAAAGTCTATGCGTCTAACATGTGAGCTAACACTTTTGACAACGATAGTTTTGATTAATGCTCCCCATTATTTAATACAGTAGCAGCTGGTATCCAAAATTAGTGCTGAGGCTGCAGATAACATTCTGCACTCTGTCCCCTTTTGAAGTAGCTCATATTTTCCAAGTGGAAAATGGATGTTCCAGGGGCAGCAGGGGCATGTGCAAACAGGCCTATACTGTCTCTATCTGGAGATAACCCCATAGAAGCCTGTACTCCATGCCTTGTGCCTTCTCCCTCTGCTGCAAGGCCAAAGGTCCCCCAATGGTAGAAAGATGTACAGCAACCGCCAAAGGATGGAGCTGCTTCAGCCTCATAGATACTCCCCGTGTCAGCAAGAGGTACTACACCCAGCAGTTATCAGCCACATGACAGATAGGACATTACTGGTGAGGCTTCACACCAATGATCACCCAGCCCTGGATTTATATAATTTGTGCTGTTACATTTTGTAAACAAGCACCTAGATGCCATGGTGCTAGGCACAAGTCATTATAATGTATATTTTAATATCCTAACAGGCACTAACAGCATCCAATGGCGTTAAGCCTGCTAAATAGCTTCCATTATAACCACAGGTTTTCATTGGTTTTGAGGGCAATGGAAAGTGGTAGCCATTGAGAGATATTACAATTCTTTATAGAGATTTCCATAAAAACATTTGGCAGCCCCTGTTGCAAAAAAAAACCTTTCAAATATGAAAAATAGCAGCAAAAATGACCAGTCACCCCAAAATTGTTTTTAAAACTACCCCTTCCACTAGATCAACTCTACAAGTAATGAAACAGAGTGATGGGCAGAGAAACCCTTGGGGCCAGGAGAAAGGGAAAGCTGGTGTGTGTACACACTTGGGGAAATAGAGAGGGGGAAGTTAGGGTGTGCATACTTGACTTGCTGGGGCCTGGTGCCGAAGCCCGAGCCCGAGGGCTTCAGCCCTGGGAGGCGAGGCTCAGGTTATAAGCCCCTGCCTGGGGCTGAAGTCCTTGGGCTTTCCCCCCCCCTTCCCGCGCCCGGGGCAGCAGGGCTCGGACTTTGGCTTTGGCCTCTCCATCCGGGGCAGCAGGGCTCAGGTTTTGGTCCCCCTCCTACGGCCATGTAGTAATTTTTATTGTCAGAAGGGGGTCACGATGCAATGAAGTTTGAGAACCCCTGCTATGCCTTAATGACAGCCCCAGAACAAGGAAGTTTAGCAGTGACTGAGCTGGAGGCTAATTCCTGAAGCATACAGGCACCCCACTTCTGTTCCAATTTATTTACTTCACTCAGGAAGTGGGAATGTGGCACAATACCACCAAAGTCAAGGAAAAACAGGACAACTGCTCAGGTCTTGCCATGCATATACACATACCTGTAAGTACTCTCATGGCTCCATGCACGGCATTCAGATCACCACTAACCAGCATCTCCATTAACAAGTTGAAAAGCTGGGGCCAAGCCTCAGGCCAGTCCCAGTGGGCTATGGCTGAAACTGCATAGGCAACACTTGATCGCACTTTACTAATAGATTCTCTCAGTCCATTGGGTAACAGCTCTCTTATGGCAACTTTTGCCTGCAGAGAATAATGATATTTAGCAAGAGAGATCACTTATCACACACAACAATATAGTGTTTTCAAACAGCTCTCATCACATTCTGATATGTATAGCAGATTCTTTTGTTGTTAGCATCAGGTTTAAGGGAAGTATCTGAGTGTGATTCAAAACATGCACATTTGGATTCCTTTCAATTTATAAAGGAGACAGAGCACAACATGTAGAAATGTATTACTCTTCCCATATAAAACACACCCAAATATAAAAGCTTTCCCAAAAGTAAAGCTGTGATTAAAGTTTAGTTTATTCTTTATACACAGTTTTAATCTCATAAAATCCTTCAAAGGGAAGGAAAGGCATGAGACCTCCAAGTAATTCCAAATAAAAAAAGGAGCCTAGCCTTTCCTAGGAGTTCTAAATCTAGTGGAGAATATACCCAGGATGTCTGCTTACATTTAACCCAATTCCTAACACCTTTCATTTCTCCAATTAGCATTTCCCTTTCAGTGAACCCCAATCTAGATGTGCTTGACTTTGCAACCTTAAACAAGCAAAAAAAAAAAACTGTTAAAAGAATGTTATCTCCTAGGGTGTGTGTTTGTTTTTTCAAAGCAAACTAAAAAACGGAACTCCCACATGCAGCATATTGACACAAATGGTTCATCAGCTTGAGCTAAGGGAGTAGTTGAGAGCAATAGGAGACTGTCAACCTCTATATGGGTCAGCACTAGAGGGAGATGAGAATTTACCAATAGGTTTGACAGCAGAGGAATGGCAAGATTCAGAAATTGTGGGTTCCATTCCAGTCTCTAGAGGGAAGTGCACTTTGGTGGGAACAGACTCTTCTGCCTGCTTCCCCACAAGTTTGTCCCCTTCCCCACCCTTTCCAACCTGTTATTGTTCCATTCAGCCCAGTCCCAGTCTTCTTGCCTAGCCAGTAGCAATCTCCTCTCTGGGGTTGCCTTCCTGAGTCAGTCTCTTCCCCCACTTCTCGTTCCGAGTCTTCCTGCCCAGTCAATCCCAGTTCTCCCCCCCCCCCACCCCTGCACCCAGTTCCTTGACTGATCTCAATATGGGTCCCCAAAACAAGCCAACCAGAAACCTTAGCTTTCCACAATGATAAAAATCAGTTACAGCAGACAAGCAACATGCAACCAATTCAGTGTTAAACAGGAATCTTACCCTTTCTGTGGTCTCTGGATGCCTAAACTTGTCTGACTGGGAACACCAGTGAGTCTCCACATATTGTTTCAAAATTACAGATGCTAACTGTAAAAGGAGAGAAAGGACATGAAGCAGAACTAAAGGAATGGGTCACATTCAGAATAGTTACAAATGTCCCTCCTCATCCCTAAAAATGGGATTGGCCAAAATATGAAATTCCCTGTGAAAGAAACAGGAAACTTTGTTGCAGAGACAAACGGAGTCTGTAGTTATTTATTGTTCATTGACAGCATGCCTGATGCTATACAGAGTCTAGAGATGTTTGATGCCAGCTTCCTATTAGACCCACCCCCATCCCAGAACCTGCTCATCACCAAATCAAGCACCATATTAAATGGTTGATTAAAACTATGCCAAGCCTAACTCAGTATTAACAATATTTTAGAGATCTCTGGGAACATGTCTCTCAGGGCCCATTGTTTCCACCTAGCTAGAGAAGAGAAATGGTAAGAAGCAGATGGCTTCCTATGCTGTAAATTATCATGGTTCAATAATTAAAGAAGTCTGGCACTTGCTATTACCCAGATGGTTACTAACTACCAAGAAATGCCCAAACCAGAGGATCAAGGTCAGTGAGGTAATATCTTTTATTGGACCAACTTCTATTGGTGAGAAAGACAAGCCAAAGAGAACTCTTCCTCAGGTCTGGGAAAGGTACTCCGAGGGACACAGCTAATTGCAAGATGGAACAGATTGTTTAGCGTACGTATTTGGCACACACTCTGAGGGACTGTTCAAGGTAGAGTGGCCTGTTAAAATCTCTGCAGTCATAGGACAAAATGAGAGGATTTGTGGGTTAAAGATTGTTGCAATAAGCCATAAATCCAGTGTCTGTTCACTCCACGATTTTTAGTGTCTAGCAGAGTTATGAATTTAAGGACTGATCTGAACAGATCTGTGTCTGACCTAAGAACAGCCATACTGAGTCAGACCATCTAGCCCCAGTATCCTGTCTTCCGACTGGTCAATGCCAGGTGCCCAGAGGGAATGAACAGAACAGGTAATTATCAAGTGATCCATGCCCTGTCGCCCACTCCCAGCTTCTGACAAACAGAGGCTAGGGACACCATCCCTGCCCATCCTGGCTAATAGCCATTGATGGACCTACCCTCCATGAATTTATTTAGTTCTTTTTTGAACCCTGTTACAGTCTTGGCCTTCACAACATCCTCTGGCAAAGAGTTCCACAGGTTGACTACACATTGTAGGAAGAAATACTTCCTTTTGTTTGTTTTAAACCTGCTGCCTAGTAATTTCATTTGGTGACCCCTAGTTCTTGAGTTATGAGGATTAAATGACACTTATTTACTTTCTCCATACCAGTCATAATTTTATAGACCTCCATCATATCCCGCCCTTAGTCGTCTCTTTTCCAAGCTGACAAGTCTCAGTTTTATTTATCTTTCCTCATATATAAGCTGTTCCATACCCCTAAATCATTTTTGTTGCCCTTTTCTGAACCTTTTCCAATTCCAATATATCTTTGAGATGGGGTGACCACATCTGCACGCACTATTCAAGATGTGGGCATACCATGGATTTATATAGAGACAACATGATATTTTCTGACTTATCTATCCCTTTCCTAATGATTCCCAACATTCTGTTCGCTTTTTTGACTGCTGCCGCACATTGAGTGGATGTTTTCAGAGAACTATCCACAATGATTTCAAGATCTCCTCCTTGAGTGGTAACAGCTAATTTAGACCCCATCATTTTATATGTATAGTTGGGATTATGTTTTTCAATGTGCATTACTTTGCATTTATCAACTCTGAATTTCTTCCGCCATTTTCTTGCCCAGTCAACCAATTTTGTGAGGTCCCTTTGTAACTCTTCCTCCTTATAGGAAACCTGCACAACTCTTCCAAAGAGGAGCCTGGGATCTTAAATTCATAATATGTGCTAACTATTTATGCTAAACAATCTCTTCCACCTTGCATTTAGCTGTGACACTCGGAGTACCTTTCCCCAGCCCTGAAGAAGATCTGTGTGGCTCGAAAGCTTCTCTCTCTCATCAACAGAAGTTGGTCCAATAAAAGGTATTATCTCACCCACCTTGCCTCTCTAATATCCTGGGACTAACATGGCTACAAACTACACTACATAAAAACCAGAGGATGTAATTTTAACTAAGCTTCTAGGACATTTTATATTACACACAAATTTCCTTTTATTCTTTGTGTTTGCCAGACCTCCCCCACCCCCCACCCCCCCCCTTTTTTTTTTTTAAAAGAACATTGCTAATTTTTACTAAACCAAAAACAGGAAAACACAACTTCAGTTCTATTCGGTATCTAGTAGAATTTAGATAAGAGGATGGTATTGATAAAAATGTAATCAGTTTTGGGGTTAAGCTGCTAAAATTTAATACACTTGTTCATAAGCATCACACTAGACAGACTTTCAGTCTAGCCTCTACCTTTGTTAAACCAACATGGAAAGTGAATGACAAGGGGCATGTCTACGCTGCCTAAGCCTGTCCTTGAGCTCGGCTTATGTTGCATCTACACTGCAATTGTGCTAACTGGGGGCTCGGACCCAGGGTCCCAGGACCTTGCAGCACTGGAGGGTCAGAGCATGGGTCAAGCCAGGACACAAGATCCGAGCCCTATTGCTTTGCAGTATAGACGCAACCCAGCTTGACTCAGGTCCTGGGAGTCCACCAGAAGTATCCCCCAATTCCATGCGACAACTTCATTAGTCCTCTCTATCCCAACAAACTGCAATCCATTCTATTAAAATGGAAGCCATTCTCCCCTTTGGTGTGCAGCAGCAGATCAGGTCAGCATTAACCCATTCTCTTCTAATCACCAATTTGCAAGCACAGTATCAGAGAGCCTCCTGGATTTGCAAGAGAGCAAACCAACAAGCCTTTTGCAAAGTGAGCTGCTTCATGATTACAGGAGCACAGCCAAATTTTGGTGAATCTCTGGTGCAAGGCAAAGTAAATTGTGTATTTCAGGAAAAGCACCAGGAATGACCATGTGTACTAGCAGATAGCTAAAAAGCTGGCACCTCTGCAGATTTTCCAGACCGGTGACCAGTGCAGCAAGCATATTAAGAGTCTGAAGAGCAAGTACCGGAAGACCAGAGATAAGAACTGCACGTCAGCTACTTGCCAACAACATTCCCATTTTATGACAACTGATGGGTGTTCTGGATGCTGCACTAAACACAGAGCCAGCAGTGCTTCATGACAACCTGGTCAGCCAGGATGGTCCCTGTTGGCCCTTGAATATCTGATGAGAGCCAGCAGCAGGCTCTCAGTGAGGAGCATAGAGTGACTCATTTAATGAAACCAGTCCAAGAGTAGGCTGTGGATCAGGATCAACAGCAAATGCTTGGTCCCTATCCGTTGAGCTTACAGAAAACCAGAGATAGACAGAAGCCGCCACTGAGCCCAGTAAACATGACTCAAAATTTACAGTTTATTACAGTAACGGAAAGGATTTCTGCTGTAAGAAGCAATGCAAAAATGATAAGCCCCAGCTCCCAGCATGTGGCCACTAATGGCAGATTGTATCACAACGCCTTGGAATACCCCCATCACATGGAGTTCAAAAAGGCAACATGGCATTTCAAACATTCATAAACAGCTGTAAACGTTATTTCAACAGTTAAGTCACAAGATTGGTGCTAGGGCCATTCTTGTTTTCCTTTCAGTAATAAGAAATTTGCCATTCTGTAATCACTCATCCTGGGTCTATGGAACCATCTGTAAACAGTGAACGCAGTGTATGTGTTTGGGAAACAGTCTTCTATTTCCAAATTAGTCCATTTCAGTTAGAGGTAATCCACACAGTCTGTGGGCAACAAAATCATTTCTCCAAAGTATGAGTGGGATGTCAATTTTTTCCCCAGAACTGTGCCAGGTGTGGGGTGTAGGAAAGCTGAACATTTCAGAGTGTTTGTGTGCAGAAATAATAGGGTAAGCCATGTGTGAGCTAACAGCATCATGTTCATTCCTTCATGGATTCTGACCCAATCCTGGCTGATGATCACAAAATGTTTGCAGCTAAGGAGGAATTCCAGATAGTTAGTCACATTGCAGGGAAGGGTATATTTTCCAGGCCACTCTGTATAGCTGACTAGTCCACTCCACTCACAAATGTGCTGTTTGGTCACTATATGTTTAAATACTTCAGCTGCATACACTGCAGGTTTCCCTCCAGCAGTTTGGTCAGACAATAGGGCACCATAAGAATGGTTATGTCTTCCAAAATATGAAAGGCCTGAAATGAGAGAAAAGGCCTTTTGCAGCAAGGGTGCTATACATCCCCCCCCATATGGCAATTAGATATGAAATTTTTATGAAACAGGAAAAAAGATTATAATTTTTAACTTACCATTGTCTCTGCACTTCTGTAACAGATTAACAAGGCTGTATCCGGAGACAGTATGAGGACTGAATCATGCCCTTCACAATGTATCAGTTCACTCTAGAAATGTTACAATTTATATCCTTGAGATTCCACAAAAAATTGTGCTTCTCGTTTTCTCCATTTAAAAAAATGAACTAATTTAGACAATAACCCTGTTTCTTGTCCTCTTTCAGTACCCTCAAGCTATACTGCCTACTGTTCTTCAGGAACTCGATCCCTGGCCCAATATACCTTCTCAGACCATTCCAAAATGAAGCATTTCTGTGATGAAGTTATGGCTGATGTTCTTGACAGGGCAGACCAGATAACACCCAGCCTCCAGAATGCTCACCTGTGGAATGTTAGCAATAGCAATCCATCTGATCTTAATTGAAAGGGATTCTCAGGCAGCTAGGATCCAAACCATTTGGAATTCCAGAACTTTTTTTGGGAGAACAGAGATAGTTGTGAGAGGCACAGAACCTCACATACCTATTGTACTGGTCCCTCAGAATACTTTAGATATGTGAGAGGGTCACTATTACAGCATATATTTTATATTAAAAAAATTAAGTGAACAAGTTCTAGATTCGCAGCTTTGCAGACAAGTTCTTCCCACTGTACTGGTACAGCTCAGAAAACAGAGCTCCTATACGCCACCCTCCAGCATGCCACCCTGAT